ATGTTTCCCTTTGAACTTCACCAATATGTTCTTGTACAAATGATAAGTGCAAATTCCACGAGAAGCCAACGGATACACTTCACCAATTGCTTTCCCTATTGACTTATGTCTGTCCGAGATGATCGCAAGATTCCTCTCGTCTGGAATAGCAACTTTGAGTTGCGTAAAAAACCAACGCCAAGAATCATCATTTTCAGTGTCAACAACTGCGAAAGCTATTGGGAAAATTTGGAAATTTCCATCCTGAGCTAGGGCTGTTAGAAGCGTCCCTTTGTAACTACCGTGGAGAAACGTACCATCCACAACAACAACTTTCCGCATGTAAGCAAACCCAGCAACACTCGCACCAAAAGCAATGAAGACATACTTGAATCTGTCACACTCGTCAATTTGAAGACGCGTTATTGTACCCGGATTTGCCCGTCTTATCGTGTATAGGTAGGAAGGCAATTCTCCAAAACTTCCCTCAGGAGTTCCCATATCGATCTGTCTTGCAAACCTTAGCGTCTTGTATGACTTCCAATAATCCATCTGTTGGCACCAATATAAAAATAAGTCAGCTGTAACTATATATAAGTCAAATGAAAACTCAGCCGTATCGTAATGAGAACTCAGCCGTAAATATATATAAGTCAGCCAACACATAAATGAAAACTCAGCCGTATCGTAATGAGAACTCAGCCGTAAATAAATAAACTCAGCCGTATCGTAACAAAAACTCAGCCGTGACTGAAATATAAATCAGCCGTGACATTGCAATTACCTTTATGCCAAAATGCTTACTGATGATTATTCCAACACTTTTAGGTTTAACTAACGGACCAATGTCACCAAGAAAGTCCCTGTAAAGAGGTCCCAAAACATCAGGTGTAGCTTGTTTGGATCGATTTGATCTCTCCGTCACAGAACATGTGTGTACCGAATCGTATATACGAACAACAAAACCAGGCTGATCTCCTTCTTGAGATGCACGAACTCTCCAAAGACATCCTTCAACCCAGCACTTAATATTCACTATAGTCGTATTTGATTTTGGTACTGAAAAATCAAATCCATCGCTCACTGCAAGAAGTTTTACTCGTTTCTCCAACTCGTCTTTGTTCGCGTATCATTGTCCTACGACGAGGTTTAGCTTAGCCATCTCCACCGTTAAAGACTCCGAGTTCCCAATCGATCCTACTTTGCCAAAGTAATGACCTCTGTTTTGAGTAGCAGCCGGTAAATCTTCATCTTTCTCCTCACGCTCGCCGTATATAGTAAAGTTATCATCGTCAGATGACGCACCATCGGAGTCGTCGAATACGTCAAATCGGGTTGAAAACTCGTCATCTTCTTCTTCATCCTCTGATTCGTACTCTGCTTCATCTTCTTTGGCTTCATCGTCTACATTTTCACTATAATCATAACAGAAACCATCAAATCCTCTTGCGTCTTCATATGTATATTCTACTTCTGAAGCCGAACTGCGTGGCCGTTTCGTCCTTGAATTCAATCCGTCCTTCAACTTCGCGAACTCAACACAAAGTCGTGGCTGATCAATTGTCAACAAGCTTAGATAATTCTGCAATTGTCGATCGTTTGAGACATAAACTGGAGGAGTATCATGCGACATATGTTTCATATGTTTGTACGAGAGCATGTAGCTCATCGTCACCTTGTGGCTGAGTTGATGCAGTCCGTAGTCATCAAGAACCAATTTCACTAGCTTCTCGTGCGTTGTTTCCGCATCTATTTGCACAATTCTACAACCTCTATCGTCAGTGTTAAATACATATTTTTGTTTCTTTACCCAGTTACCAGACACAACAATCACTGGAACTGGATGATCCATCAACGAAAATGAAGAACAGAAGTGAAAATGCAGAAAAGAAGTGAAGAACAGAATTGAAAATGAAGAACATAAGTGAAAATGCAGAAAAGAAGTGAAGAACAGAATTGAAAATGAAGAACAGAAGTGAAAATGAAAAACAGAAGTGAAGTGATTCCCAGAAAATGAAGAACAGAGTGTAAGAAAAACACGAGCTAATGCGGGACCTTTCGTATTTCCCTCGTTTATGCTGACGTGGAATTGTGAATTTGAAGTCGTAAGTCAGCCACCAAACAACTTTGTAACTCAGCCAACGATAAATCAGCCATCAAAACAAATTAAGTCAGCCACAACATGAAAAATATTTAAGTAATTACTAAAATGTTTTTTAAGATGCCAAATTCAGCCGTAACGTCAATAAGTCAGCCGTAACGTAAAATAAGTCAGCCGTAACTGGAGGCTATATTAGCAATAAATCTTTTGTCTATAAGTCAGCCGTAACATTGAGTTTTCCGTTAACTCAGCCAGTTACGACTGAGTTATGTCTCTGAAACATAAGTCAGCCGTAACGACATTTGATAACTCAGCCGTTGTCGATAACTCAGCCACCCGGAGAAAGTTAAGTCAGCCGTGTCGATAACATAAATCAGCCAAACTTCTGATAACTCAACCATCGGACTATAACTCAGCCGTAACGGCGGCTGAGTTATTAGCCAATTTCTCATAACTCAACCAGATTTTTATAAGTCAGTCGTAACTGTTGGCTGAGTTATGATCCTAAGTCAACCGTTGACCCGAAACTCAGCCGTTGTCCCATAACTCAGCCATAACGTGATATAACTCAGCCGTAACGTACGTTATGGCTGAGTTATTGGTGGCACGCGCCTTTTTGTCTGACGTGGCAGTGGCATTTTCCGTAATTAGTTTTTTCCGGTAACGTGAAAAAAGGGCACGCTGGTAATTAAAAAACATTTAAGGATAAAAAAAAGTTTTGGATGGTTTGCGTCAATACACCTAACATGTGGTCCATCTAAGTAATTCTTTCTATCCTAAACTCAAAATCAATCTACGCCTTTAAATAAACCACGTCACACAACCACGACCGTTCGATACAAACGCGGCAACTTGTCTACAAATAAAATGACGATTTTGTCCTTATTCGTTATCCTCTTTATCCATTTTATCTTTTCTTTCTTCTCCCGGTAACATTCTCAGGTCAAAGTTGCTTCTCGCTACGGCCGCGATGTCGACGGTTTCGATTCATCGGAACGAGCTGCTTCGAATCACACACGGTCGATCTCGAATATTCCGGCAGAGATTTCGTAGAACTATCCCTCTTTGGAAATTAACGATTAATTCGAGATCTTCTGATACGTCTAAGAAGGAAGAGCTTTCTGTGAAGATTTCGAATTCGCCTATGAAGATTCCTCCTCAAGTTGAACAAATCAGACCTGAAGGTTTGAGATTCGATCGTTTGCAACCTTCTGAGTTAGAGTTTGGTCAGGAAGATAGATTCGAATTTGGTAAATTCGTAGCTAGAGAAGCGATGCTTGATGAAGAGTATTGGGTAAGGTTTGCTTAGATTCTTAGCCTCAGAGTTAATTTTGGTTTATGGTTTCTTCTAATTAGATTGATTTTGTGTTAGACTGCAGCTTGGCTTCGTGCAGAGAGTCATTGGGAAGATCGTTCCAGTGAAAGGTTAGCATAAGAATCTGATTTAGAGTAATCTTGGAAGTTGTAAAGTAAACAAAGAATAGGTTTAAGGAATGATCTTGGATGATGGATGAGATTGAATGATGTTGTGGGAAGTATTGAATAGTTTAGGAGTAGCTTAGATATGAGTGGAGATGAGGATTGGTATGCCTGATTAATGTTGTTCTTTTGTAAACACAGATATGTTGATAACTACAAAAGGAAATTTGCAGAACAGGTAGAAGCTTATACTCAGTTTTTAGCTCTTTCCTTAATTGGAGGAAACTTTCTTTCAAAGGATGATATCGAAAACCGTTTCAGGAGTTCAATGCCATAAAACGAAGATGTAAAGGGATGCAAGGGCAAAAATGTTCCTGTATTGTTGCGGTATGTGAATATATATTGTTTGAATGTATAGTGAAAAAAAAGTATAAGTGAATGGAATGTTTGAGACTTGGTGTTTATGAGCTTTTTGATGTTGTTGTTGTGGTATGCATCAGGTAAAGAAGGAAGAGAAGCATATTAAACGTTCAGTAATCAAAAGTGTAGTTGGGACGCTTGATTTGAGCTTTCGGTTTTTCTTGCATGGAGAGACCTTTCCTGGGGTATAATTTTTTTAGTTGTGGATTTAATTTCTTGTCTTGGGTGTGTATCAAAAGGCCTTCTAATAAGTTACGTTATGTGCAGGAAAAGGTGAAGTCTCAATTATTCTGCAGCATAAACCGGGAAGGATCAATTAGGTATGGTTATATTGCTAATCTATGTGTTGCGAAATCAGCTCGCCGCCAGGGCATTGCTTGCAACATGTTACGTTTCGCTGTCGAATCAGCCAGATTGAGTGGTAAATAATAATGAACGGAAAAGAGAAAGGCCGTCCATTGTACTAATTGTATGCTAAGCCGTTAAATAAGTTGAACATTTGTTGATAAGGATCTTAAAACAATGTGTGTATTGCATTTGGTTGCAGGAGTTGAACAAGTATATGTTCATGTACATAAAAACAATTCAGTTGCTCAGGAGTTATACCAGAAGACCGGTTTCGAGGTAAAAAATCTCACATTCATTACTCTAAAATTTGATAAATGATTATCCTAACCTGACGTATATGTTGTGTGTTTTGAAACAGATCGTCGAAACAGGTAAATCTGAATCATTAGATGATACATACTTGCTCCAGTACACAAGATAACACACAAGAAACGATCTTGGTTCTCTCTGCCTTTACTCGATTGTTTTTGTTTTGGAGAATCGGAGAGAAGAATCAAGACACATAAGATTGATTGTTAATGCATTTGTTTGTTGTGTAAAAGTATAGTGAAATGTGTCTCTTAAGCTGTTATGTAAACTTGTAAAAGTATAGTCTATTGTCTTAAGTTTCATGTAACAATTGCATTCATTCAATATATGAATTTGAAGTATCAAAACATTATAACATAAACTAGTTCAAATTCAAAAACAGAAGTAAAATTAAGATTTTTGATCTTGCGGATTTAATAAATACTAGATTAAAAAGTCAAAGAAAAAACACATGTTTGGACAATTAGTAAAATCGTCTCTGCTCTTCTCCAAAATCAAACAAAGCAGAGAGAAGTATTAAGTACAAAGCAGAGGGAGATGTTGAGGTTTGTTTCAGCTATCAGCAAGGTTCTTTGTAAGGTGGCCTAAGAAGGGAACCATCTTCAAACCTAAGATCTTGACTGTAGGGTTTGAATGACCATTAACGAATACATCCGTCACCTGCAAAAGCGAGAAGATAAGTTTCTTCGAAAAGGAGAAGATGGGCTCTCTTGGGTTTTCAATTTTTTTACCTGAGTGCATCCAAAGACCTTCAACACTTTCAGAGATGAACAGTTATCGACAATGTAGCCTAGTAAATCGTCTGACATATCTCGGCACCAGGATACATCCAAGATCTGCAGCTTTGTTGAATGTTTGGCAATTGCTACGGCTGTGTTGTGGCCAACCTGGAAATTAAAAACAAATGTATTAGTGTATGACTTTAAGCATGGCTCTGTGGATAGGTGGCATAATGGAAAGGAGATCCATTTACCTTCTTAACATTGTTTAGTGATAGCTCATTCAGACAACCGCCTGCGGTTTCTATAAATGCAGCTACAGCTTCATCACTATAAAGAGACATAAGAAGGATCTATTAACATTGACATTCAACGCAGCCATGACACAGTTAACAAGAACACGACTGTATGTGTAGATTTGAATCTAGAATACAGATAGTGTCTCCAACATCAACATTGTGGCAGAGTCATTTAACGAACTAACACCATAAGTTTTTCACAAAACGAAAAAAAATAGAAACGTGGATCAAGTTTTTATATATAACAGGCTGTGTGACCATATCAAATGGCAACCTTGTACGGTTGTATCAATATAGCATAAACATTTGAATGAAATAGTAACCTTCCAGTAAGCATGAATACAGATGAGTATAGAGACTTGCCTGAAGGTGTTGCGACAAAAAATCAATTTCTCCAGAGCTTGACAGCCATTTGCAAGGTAACCCAGAGAAGAATCCGTCAGTTTACATATGTTAGCCAGGTCAAGCACGCTTAAATTGGGGCAATTTTCAGAGATGACTTTAATAGAAGAATCAGTTAATCTCCTGCACGAAATTTCCAAAACCAAATAAGGAAAAAGTGACCGAATCAAAGGGGTGAACAAGGAAATTCAAGATGCATACCCAGAGTTGGTCAAAATTAGCTGCTTCAGGGTTTGTCCTCTAGCAGTAACAAACTCCTTCAAGAACTGACCCTTGACTGAAGGAAGATCTGCAAGGGACAATATTTCCAACTTCTCAAACTTTTTCAGTGCTGAGAGAATACGCTTCACATCAATGCTTTGGCACTCATTGATATACAGTTCTCTTAAAACTGACCCCAATGAATCAGATAACATATCAATGCTAGATGATGTTAGAAGGGAGCATTGGTTGAGATTAATAGATGTAATTGCAGGAGCAGAAGAAACGAGTGTCTTTAGCCCCGCATCAGAGAGCCGGCATGCACCACTTAAAGATAAAGACGATAGCATCGGCAACTGTTTTGGTGACCTAGCTAAGGTTGAGTGTAATACATAATCTGGCATACAACGTCCACATTGGTCGAGTTGAAGAACCTGTTTCAAAAAGGGCGAATGTGGACTTTAGTTACAACGTACATCTTAAGGTCATCTTACACACGAAGAACTTTATCTTAAGTATGACAGGATAACATGATTCACTCCTTTCAGTGTCATTATTTTCCAGGAATGGTCAGAGAAACTCACATACAGTTCACTATCCAATATAAGTCAATTAACTACAAGAATAAAATGGTACTGAAAATGTTGTCTTGACCAAAACAACAAATAAATATTCACCTAAATGCAATATCTGATGTTGTATTAAATAAAAACTGAAACTGTAAGAGTAAGTTACCATCAAATTGCTGGTGTCACAGTTCTTAAAGCATTCAGTAAATTGCTCCTCAGTCAGCCATGAACAATCTGGAACACAAATTTCTGTTGGAGATCCACGGACAAGAAGATCAAGAAAGTGTACATCCATTCTCCTCGAATCACAAAGCAATTGACAAAGTTTAACCCTTAGTGCGTCTGGAACATAGTCAAGCGAAGTGATGGCATCCGCATTCTTGACAAGAATTTGCAAGGATAGTTCTTGCAGAGATGGAGCCTTCCGAGGTGCAACACTAAAGTTTATCCTAGGAACCCAAATAGTTAATGAAGATTTTTCTTTGTTGGAGACACCAATACCAAAATACGAAGTCGAGTTTTCTTCCCGGTCCTTAATGATTTTCATGGCAGTAGAGAAAGGGCCAGGCCAATCTTCGACCTGTTGTTCACCCTCTCTATCTGACAAGTCCTCTTCTTCCTCCATTCGAGCATCATAATAAGCAAATCTGGAAGCATTTCTCCTGGCAATGTCACGAAAGTGCCGAGATCTCCCGCCATTCCCAATTTGATTACCATTCTGATTCTGCGTTTGCTCTGCATTAACTGTCATCGCAGACGATTCTGGTACAGAGGCATCCGGGGTCGGGGGATTCCCATCGTTAATCAAGTTCTCCATTTCCATTTCTTCTTCACAAATCTCAATCGTGATAGGAGAAGCAACATTCTCCACCTGAATACCCTTTCCCTTCTCCTCCCGAGTATATATTCTTCTACTACCCATAGAGCTACTTGGAATCACCGGCACATCATTGAATCCAGAGGAATCATCCAATACACCCTTTCCTTTGTCCTTTCTCTCATTTTCTTCAACCACAACTTCGACAGAACTCTCCGCTAACACGCCATTACCACTACTACATTCCATCACTGTCTCTCCCTTCTCCTCATTAACCATTCTTCTCGACTGTGAATCAAGTTTGATATCTACATTAACCACTCCACAAATCCCACTACTCCCTAATTCCTTTCTCACAACATCATCTCCAACCAAATCAACACTAACCCTCTTGCGTTTACTCCCACTATCTAAACTCAATCCACTACCAAAATCAAATTTCCTAGACTCAATTTCAATTCCACGATCAACAGACCTCTTAGCAACTCTCTTCCCAGACCTTAAACTCAAAAACTTATCATCCACATTCTCACCACAAACACTAACCGCTTCATCGGTAAAACATTCATCGCCGTTGCTCAGACGAAGACTACGCCTCCGGTTAGTGTGAGCGGTGGTTTCGCCATCGCCATCGCCAACAGGACCTGATTCGGAAGCGATCTCATCCGGCGAACGGTGAACATCGGGCTCTTGTGTACGACAAGGAGTTAAGGGATCGATATCTGATTGCTTAGGGAGTGGCTTGGCTGAGACCGATGATGAGATTTCGCGAGATCGAAGAATCGTCATTGAAATCAGAATCTTAAGAGGAGAAGAGAGAAAAGGGTTTATGAGAGAGTTTGGGTGTGGTGGAGGAAGAAGAAGAAGAAGATGAACCGGCGGTTTAGGATAATTTAGGGTTTATTGGCGATTTTCGCGCCAACCGATGCAATGTGTGTTTTTTCCTCTTCTCTCTCTGCTCAACGCTCAATGAACCATTTCTTTCTTTTATATGACTTTCCTATTTCTTTCAAGTCAAATTTTAGAAAATTTACTTTACATAATGATTTAAGTCAAAATATCATTTAATTATTGAAACTATATGTTAATTATTTGATTAAATATTTCTGGTTTTACTTTATTTATTTATTAAAGGCTGATTAAACAATTTTGTTTGGAGTTTATCCTTTCAAAAAAATAATACTTTTTGGTATTTCGATTTATACTCCCGTGTTAAAATATAGTATGCGTATAAAAATTCTTCATATACGTGCGAAGTCTAAATCTCTTACCTATTTCCATATATGTTGGACTAATATATGCAATATTAAATGGGTATCACAGTTATGAGATTATGAAAGAACCATACATTTTGGGTAAATGTTCGAGTTTTTGATAAATACCCAAATTTCAGGTAAATACCCGGATTTTTGAGGTAAATAATCGGAGTTTTGGGTATAAATTCGGGTATTCAAGTAAATAATTTCCGTATTCGGATCCTAAATTATTTATATACATTTATATTTTGGGAACTTTTGAGTTTGGATTTGGATCGGATTTGGTTTTGGATTTTCGGGTAGAGCAGTTTAGGACCCAATAGAGTAAATCTAAAATTTTGGGTTCAATTCCGGATCTAATTTTTTGGATTGGTTCCGGTTTTGATTTTTGGTTCCTGTTATTTTCCTAGGCCTAAGATGAACACAAGAGTATATAACTTGAATATATTGTATATAAACACAGATGCATCGAATAACTTGTTGGCAATTATCAGATGTATTGGAAATTAGGAAAAATTAGATAGGGAAAATAAAGAAATTAAAGAAAGAAAAAATTATTATTGAAATTATTGGTAAAGGAAACAAACCACCTGGTGCTCTGGCTAAACGTTTATTTACCTATTGAAAGAAATTTTATTTAATATATTCATTAGTTCCTTTTCTAATCTCTAATGAGCTATATTGTGACTTTTTTACGTATCTATAATATAGCTCTTGTTTAGTGTTAAAAAAGAAAAAAAATAGATAAAGATGCGTTTGTATATAAAATTATTATAAAATCAAAAATAGTAATAGTTAGATTATATGTTTTTTGTTAGATTACCTAAAATTATTGGAAAATCAGATAATAGTAACGGTTAGATTATAATTATATATTTTTTTTGTTAGATTGTATAAGACATTGGGAAATCCGATAACAATAACGGTTCGTTTTTAATTTTGTAAAACGAAATCAATAGAATCTTAAATAGATTGATTTGTTTGGGGAAGAAAAACAAACAAAAATTTTTAATCTCTCTAATTTTTTTAACTTGTTCTCTCTCATCTTCGTCTTCTTCATCGTCATATTCAATTGAAATTACTCTACAGTTGTGAATTCTCTCACAACTCAAACCACCTCCATCATTATAATTGATGAGAGGCTCTAAAAACACAGAAAACATGAAAGTTTAATTATAAATTTATTTTGTATTTTTTAATCAACTAAAATACTAAAATTGTGACATGTGTCCTTTATGTGGATAGATACGTTGTTAAAAGTAGGCCTGGGCGTTCGGATATCGGATCGGGTTCGGTTCGGATTTTTCGGTTTTCGGATTTTTTGGATATTGATTCTAACATCCATTCGGATATTTATAAAATTCGGTTCGGTTTCGGTTTGAATATTTCGGATTTCGGTTCGGTTTGGATATAATTGTGATAATTAAATTTTAACCAAAATTTATTGGATTCGGTTTTATTCGGATATTTTTAAATCCAATTATACTCAAATAATCCATACTATCCAAGTATATAAAAAAATAGAAATGAGGCAAATGACAAGTTCAAAGAACCAACTAACATAATACCATACCAATATATAAAATCGAAGCATAAAACTGTGTCGATGCATAAAATCTTTAAATAAACCAAACTAAACCATAAATTCCTAATGAAAAAGTAGCAAAATTCAGTGACATCCTAAATCAATTAAAAATAATTTTTAATCCGATATGCGGCAAACGTATATATCCTAAAGATATTAAAGTATATATTGTATATATCCTAGATATATTAAAGTATATATTATAAGTTCGGTTATATATGGATATCTATTGGATATCGGTTCGGATCGGGTTTAATCCGATATCCAAAAATAATGAAAGCTAACAACCGATCGGTTATTTTTCCAATATCGGTTCGGTTTTAATCCAATTTTTTCGGTTCGGTTCGGTTCGGTTCGGGTTTTCGGATTCGGATTTTATGCCTAGGCCTAGTTAAAAGCTTCATATTTGGATACTCATTTTCTCTCTCTTTAACTTTTTATTTTTTTATTAATTTTTTGTTGGAATCCCTCGTTTTACAGACTCTATTGGAGATGCTCTCATCTCACAATCCCAAAAAAGCTTCTTTCTCTCTCGCTCTTCTTCCTTTTCTTCTGATAGAGTGTAACGGACTTGAGTCTTAGAAGGGATGGAAATGAGATAAGAATTGATAGGAGCAATAGAGAGATAAGCGGCGAAGAGTAAGGAAATAGATCTTAATTCATTGATTGAGTAACCCTAAAATGGATCACTCTGCAAATAGTACTATTCTCATAGAAACTACACACACTTTGTCTCAAACAAACTAAAATGACAAGCAATTCTTATTCAAACGTCAAAGCCTCTGGTTGCTCTAGAGTCTAGTGCCTTCTTCCTCTGGCCCGTAATCAGCCACTTTGAGCCATTGTTCTCTTTTGCTGCGCTTGAGTACGAGTCATTTTCTTCACAAAGGCCAGATGTATAACTAACTTATCATCTTTTCCATAGTTTCATAAAAAAAAAAATCCCCATAGAAGCATGTAGACAGTGGAAGAAAATCGGTTGATATCGTCAGTTGGATGCATACCCGAAAACGATGGGGATAGTTAGTACTCTTCTTTTAGAAGACATTCCAGTAAACAATGTCTCAAACAGTGAGAAGGGATCAACGACGTTCAACCACTTGTTTTACTGCCGATTTTACCGCCGCTAGTCTGAGGTCCACGACAAAGGAAGAAAATGCTTCTATGTTGTCACTACTTTGGAGGTAGAGGGATATGCTAGACAAATGATGATTGTCATTATTATCACGATGACATGTCACCGGGTTTTTCCGACCATCGTTGCCCGACTCCGATTCAAAGGATCTCCCAATCGCTGGCAAGGTAAAAGATTATTTGTTGTTTTGGGTCTCTCTCTCTAGATATATATATATATATATATCTATCTCTTAAAACTAAAGTTGCAAAGGAGAAATCACATTTTATGAGCACCTCCGTTAAGCGATTCATGTGGGTATATATAAAAACAAAAATTTAACACAAAAACTTAATACTATAAGCAAAAAACTATAATCTAAAAACCACTTAAAAACTTGCAAACATCATGGCCTAAGGCCATGAATGTTTTGTAGTTTTTAAATGGGTTTTAGCTTTTGGTTTTTGGTTTTTGGCTTTTGGTTTTGGTTTTTTAGTTTTTGATTTTTGCTGTAGATTTTATTGTTAGAAAGCTGAAAAAAATAGTTTTTAGTTTTTACGAATGAACTAAGCAAATCTCACAAAATCTGGTTTCCCTAAATTTAAGGAAATCTACTTTTATAAAAATCGTGAATGGTAATTTTTCTGGTTTTTTAGAATCAAAAACCAAAAACCAAACAAAAAACTGCAGTTTTTACCAATTTGTTAACAAAATCCAAAATCTAATTTAAATAGTTTTTAAGATTTCTTTTACGTGACTTTTTACTTTCATTTTTTTTCTTTATTTATTGTAAAATCCCAAAACTAAAAAAATTAAAATCTAAAACTTAAATTCTATAATATATAATCTAAAACCCACTTAAAATCTCCTAAACATTCATAGCCTTAGTGGTTTTTGGATGATGGTTTTTGGTTTTTGGATTCTAGATTTTGATTAGCAAAATCTTCTAAAATCTGGATTTCCTAATTTTCAGGAAATCTATAGTTTTAAGAATCATGAATGGCTAACAAAATAGATTTTGCAGAATCAAAAGCCAAAAACTGATATAAAATCAGATGCCATTCAAGGCCATAATCTTGTAAAATTAAAATCAATATATTGTGCTTTTAAAAATAGGGAGAAAATTAAAATTTTATTTTATTTCTATTTATTAAGTAATATATTCTGATTGGTTAAAAAAGGTGACCTTAGGAGTGAACCAAAGATTTTTTTAAAATAAAATACAAACTAAAATAGAATGTGAATATATTTTTTGACCCCAAGAGGTGAAACAAATAATTTTTTAAAAATATAAAGCAAATTAAAATAGAAAGTGAATACAAAGGTTGACCCCAAGAATCGAGATATCATTCTAATTAATTTGTTACTAAATTACAATAGTCAATGATTCCTGTTAAGTTAAGTATGATTTATGATTTTAATCTAATACATCCTATTAAATTATGCAAGGAGATTATTTAAAAATTCTTATATATATATATAGTTCTCGGGTGGGGAAAACGGGGAAAATCAACCCAAACTATTTCCCGAAAGTATTTTCATACCCAAACTCGCGTACTCTGAATTTTATAACCCAAACCAGATTTCAATTCAAATAACCAACATGAACTGTATCAAATTTTGTCGATTTCAACCTCGACGTTAACAGTATCCCTGCCCATCTTGAAGATTTGGACAATTAAGCTTAAGCTTAAGCTTAATTTCTCTTGGTTTTTACAGAAGCTTAAGCTTGATTGTCCAAATCTTCACGATGGACAGTGATACTGTTAACGTCGAGGTTGAAATCGACAAAATTTGATGTGGTTCAGGTTGGTTATTTGAATTGAAAGCTGGTTTGGGTTATAAAATTTAGGAGTACGTGAGTTTGGGTATGAAGATACCTTCGGGAAATAGTTTAGGTTGATTTTTCCCGTTTTCCCTTCTCGGGTGAGCTGATTTAAAAAAAAACTAAAGAAAAGAAAGTT